AGTAGGGCTCTGTGGGGTGGGCCAGGTCGGGGGCGGGAGAGGGACGGCAGCTTCCGATCTCTGGATCGGGGAATCGCGCCGCCAACCCTGGGTCCTGCGAAAACCACCGAAGGCGGCACACGTTGCACGGAAGGCATGAAGTCTGCCTCCAACTTCTAATGCAGTCCCTTTAGGTCTGGAACCGGGTCTCAGTGCCGACCCTGCCGGCTTCGACCCTAAGTCATCACCGCAGTCATCGTTGCCAGCGGTGCACCTTGGCCTCCGATCTCCGTCATCGCATCATCGTTATGTCGCATGACCGCTGTACCCGATGACTCAACACCTCGAACGCCACGGCCCCAGGCTCCGACCAGGGGAATCCTGGCCGCCGGGGGCACTTAACAGCGGAGAGAGGTGTCACCTCGCCACCCCACGCGATGTTAGCCAGGGAGGGTAGTGATGCAGATAAAACCCTCTGCTCGCTCTGGTCTTTTGGGGGGTCACGTCTCCTGCGCTTCGGATGCTGGCAGCGACCATTGGCTCTACTGTGGCATTTCGAAACCGCACGCATCCTTTGTGCTAGGAAGCGTTTTAAAAATAAGAGCGCTTCGTTTTTTCAAGGCCTGATGTGATTCTCTTGCGTCAGAGCTAAAGCTCTCCTTTGTGTTCGTGCTCAGTCCTGTTGTCCCCCTGTCCTCATCATTTAGGGCCTTGAGAAGAAGGAGAGCCTTATCACCAGTGTCCTGTGCCACACAAGGGCAACTCTGTCATCTGCAATCTGAAAACCCCCTTCTGCTCTGCTTTCTGGAAGGAGTAAACAGGACTTTTACCTGTTTTGAAGAACTCAGTTTTCCACTAACACTGAGGCCTTTTGTTTGCTGTTTTCAGATTGGAGAGGTTTATACGGGATCAAATTGTGTCTTCAGTGTACTGCAGCCTCTTAAGATTTATTAGCAGTTATATTTAGAGAATGTGGTTGCATCGTTATTCAACTTTTTAAATAAACATATGCTCTACAAAGTACTTTCAAAAAAAGAATTGGGTTAGGTTTTTACAGGAACAAAAGTCTGCTCATCTTCATTTTAAAGAAATTACTTGCCGATGAATTCATCTAAGTCAAAGGAAGCTAAAGAGTTTGAGAAATATATGTCCCTTCGTAATGAAATTATAAAAGGAGTAAACATTTTAAAATCTTATGTCCTAAAAAATATAGGAGGATTCAAAAGAGATCCGGGGGTGTTAGGCGCCCTCCTAAGTGGGTCAGAGAACAAAATGACAGATTTTATTTTATAAAATTAAAAACTTCTATATGGCAAAAGAGTTTTGGCAAAGTTAAAATATTAATTTCACCCGGGAGAAAATATAGGCAATGTATCATGAGCAGAATTAACATCATAATAAAGAATTAACATCATTTATAGCAGTGTAGTTAGAAAACATATTGTCAGCTACTTTCACTATAAAAGTTGGTGCGCACAGTGATGATAATTGGAATATGAACGTTTTTCATATAATGACTTTTCAAAAAAGGAATTTGGTTGGTGATAACAAGATACAAGTTTTAGCAAATGGGAAGCAGAACCAAGTCAGTATTAGTTTCCTTGTAGAACTTGTGATGCAGGTTGTGAGCCTTGTGATCCACAGACGCTATAATTACCGCAGCAGTGCTGACATGAAGAGCCAGCCTGTTTCACTCCAGCTCTAGAAGCTGGGCTCAAACTCCTAAGTAGACTCATCAGCCTCTGGGGGTCAGACTCTCAGATGAGGTACCACCTTGTTCTACTTTGAAAAAGATGAAAAACTAGAGAAAGCTACTGAGAGAAAGGATACACTTCAGACAAGGAATGAACATGGCCTTGCTGACCAGCTCACTAAATTCTCTGTTAGTAATCATGGGCCTGCCACTCCGGCAGCTGCCATTGTGGTTCACTGTTGTAACTAAGGGTGTCTGCTTTAATCAGCCCAATCGTTTTAAGCTTCTGATTCTTTAAAAAAAATTTTTTTTCTTTATTGATTAAGGTATTACATATGTATCCTTACCCCCCAATTATTGCCCCCCCCACACACACTCATGCCCTCACTTCCCTGTTGTCTGTGTCCATTAGTTAGGTGTACTATATGCATGCATATAAGTCCTTTGGTTGATCTCTCCCCCTAAGCTTCTGATTCTTAGAGACCAGTAGTTCATCCCAACATTAGTCAGGAGACTCATGTAGTTGCCAGATGCAAAGCACTGTAGATTTGTACTTGAAGCATCAGCATCCGTATTTATTAACATAGGATCTCCAGATTGAGCCAGTAGGCTTGCCAATGGTGGTCCACACCTCTGAAAGGAAACACCTCTGAAAGCCAGTGCTGCAGAAGAAACCCTTCGATGGATGACTTCTCCCACTAAACAAGATTCCCAGTTGTAAGTTACGTTTCAGCAAAACGCTATCCTTGGGTTTACATGGTAGGCAAGACTTTTAATCCGACTATTCAAAATGCAAAAGACAATAGTTGAGAGACACAGAAGACTGTTCAAAGCATTATAAGGAAGATCTGTATAGAAGATGAAACGCTGTGGGAGACAACAAATCAGCATATTCTGGTGGTGAAGAGAAATCCTTACAAGGACAGCAGATCTAGTAAATGTTGAATGATTCCAGTTATACCACACATAGCAAAGGAATGGAGGATTTCATTCCTTTCACTGGCAGTGGTCGGCAAACTGTGGCTCTCGAGCCACATGCGCCTCTTTGGCTCCTTGAGTGTGGCTCTTCCACAAAACACCGACTTCTGCTCATGGGCCACGAAGTTTCAATCGCACTGTACATGCGCGCCCGCATGTGGTATTTTGTGGTATTTCTGTGGAAGAGCCACATTCAAGGGGCCAAAGAGCCGCATGTGGCTCGCAAGCCGCAGTTTGCCGACCACAGGACTAGGGCTATGAGTAGTCAGTTGGGGCCATGAGGAAGTATTTTAAAAGATATTTCTTATTCCTTCTCTTCCA